GGTGTCCCGATGATGATGATGATGTTGATCATGTTGTTTATGATGATGATGAGATGATGATGATGATGATGATGACGGTGGTGTTCCGATGATGATGATGATGATGACGACGATGATGATGATTATGATGATGATGGTGTCCCGATGATGATGATGTTGATGATGGTGGTGACGATGATGGTGCCCCGATGATGGTGATGATGATGATGGTGATGATGATGAGGTTGATACTGATGATGCTGATGACGATGATGATGATGTCCCAGTTATGATGGTGATGATGATGTTGATGACGTTGATGACGATGATGTTGATGATGATGATGATGACGTTGATTTTGATATCGATTGTGATATCGATAGTGAGATCGGTAGTGAGACCTAATATGAGATCGATTGTGAGATCGATAGTGGGATCGGGAGTGAGATCGATAGTGAGATCGATAGTCAGATAGATTGTGAGATCGATCGAATGGAATAGATCGAGTGAGATCGATTGTGAGATCGATCGAGTGAGATCGATCGAGCGAGACCGATCGTGAGATCGATAGTGATATGGATAGTGAGACCGATCGAGTGAGACGTTGGTTCCTCCCCCCCCGAACCTCCTTATCACCCGAAGGGTGATCGTATGTATATATATATATATATATATATATATATATATCGGAGGTTGGGGGGTGAGGTCGCAGTGGAACGGAGACCCCCAACTGGGAAATCGTTTCGTTTCGTTCGTGTCGTGCGTGCGGGCGAGGCGAAGCTGCGTGGGCGCGCGAGAGGAGTGAACCTGCCGTTGCTAGGGCGAAGTCAAGACATGATTCTCCCCTCCCGCCCGTCCGGCGGTGGCCACAAGTGTCCCGCGGTGTCCCATGGTGTCCCGTGGTGTCCGCTGTTGCTAGGGCCAAGTCAAGACAAGTGATTCTCTCCCTCCCGCCCGTCCGGCGGTGGCCACCGGTGTCCCGCGGTGTCCCGCGGTGTCCCGTGGTGTCCCATGGTGTCCCGTGGTGTCCGCTGTTGCTAGGGCGAAGTCAAGACAAATGATTTTCCCCCGCCCGCCCGTCCGTCCGTCCGTCCAGCGGTGGCTCGCGGTGTCCCGCGGTGTTCCGTGGTGCCCCGTGGTGTCCCGTGGTTTCCCGTGGTGTTTCGTGGTGTCCCGTTGAGTGAGATCGATAGTGGGATCGTTAGTGAGATCGATAGTGAGATTAATAGTGAGGTTGATACTGGGATCGATGTGAAGCCCAGAGGTGTCCCGTGGTGTCCCCAAAAGTGAGATCGATAGTGAGATCGATAGTGAGATCGACAGGTGTCCCGTGGTGTCCCGCGGTGTCCCGTGGTGTCCCGTTGAGTGAGATCGATAGTGAGATCGATAGTGAGATCGATAGTGAGATCGATGAAGCGCAGAGGTGTCCAGTGGTGTCCCGTGGTGTCCCGTTGAGTGAGATCGATCGTGCGATCGATAGTGACACCGATAGTGAGATCGAGAGGTGTCCCGCGGTGTCCCGTGGTGTCCCGTGGTGGCCCGTGGTGTCCCGTGGTGTCCCGTTGAGTGAGATCGATAGTGAGATCGATAGTGAGATCGACAAGTGTCCCGTGGTGTCGCGTGGTGTCCCATTGTGTCCCGTTGGGTGAGATCGATAGTGAGATTGATCGAGTCAGATGTTGGCTCCCCCCCTCTCCCCCCCCATACAACCTCCTTATCACCCGAAGGGTGGTCGTACAGGTACTGGTCGGTGCAGTGGGATCGGGTGCAGAAGGAATGGAGGCGAAGACTGTCGCCGCGTACGTTTTTCTTTGGAGAGAAGGCCGCCTGCCCAACAGCAACCGTCGTTGGTTTGGGACAACCTTTGTTGTTGGGTATCGTATTTTTTTCCGTATCCTCTGCGGACGTCCAAAGTCCAGTTTCTTGACCTGGGCCTCGGCGGCGCGGCGCAGCGCGCAACGCTCAAAGTAAGTGGGTGATTCGTATGACCATGTTTAATTGTTTCTAAATATTGCTGTATATAGTCTTTTTCTTCTTCATTGTATTCGTATGATTAATATTTTAGTGTTGTTCCTGTATTTGTTATTGAAACTCTTATTTTTACCATTGCCATTCTCATTATGCTTGTTACGAAACTTATTAATTTGATTATCATTATTATTATTCTTATTATTATTATTATTATTATTATTCTTATTATCATTATTATGATTATCCGTAAGGGCTTCGCCCCCTGCCGCCGGCCCCCTCTCTCGGAGAATGGGCCATGGAAGAGCTAAGTCATGAGGCCTTGGCGCTGTCGTGAAGCAGTATCGAAACTTCATGCGAAGCCGATTCGCAATCAGCAAAACCAACTGATCACAAGAGGGGTTACCACACCTGGCGATTGGTAAGACGTGTATGGTTTACGGGCTTGGTTACCACACCTTGCGATTAAAGGGCCGAGGGAGTTCTCGCAGTTTGGGTTACCACGCCTTGCGATGGATGTGCGTGAAGGGTGGCACCGAATTTCAGAAATGTGGCAAATCCCCTGTGTTTTTGGACCCTGACCCCGCGGATCTGCGTAAGGGGTGGCACCGAATTTCAGAAATGTGGCAAATCCCCTGTGTTTTTGGACCCTGACCCCGCGGATCTGCGTGAGGGGTGGCACCGAATTTCAGAAATGTGGCAAATCCCTGTGTTTTTGGACCCTGACCCCGCGGATCTGCGTGAGGGGTGGCACCGAATTTCAGAAATGTGGCAAATCCCTTGTGTTTTTGGACCCTGACCCCGCGGATCTGCGTGAGGGGTGGCACCGAATTTCAGAAATGTGGCAAATCCCATGTGTTTTTGGACCCTGACCCCGCGGATCTGCGTGAGGGGTGGCACCGAATTTCAGAAATGTGGCAAATCCCTGTGTTTTTGGACCCTGACCCCGCGGATCTGCGTGAGGGGTGGCACCGAATTTCAGAAATGTGGCAAATCCCCTGTGTTTTTGGACCCTGACCCCGCGGATCTGCGTGAGGGGTGGCACCGAATTTCAGAAATGTGGCAAATCCCTTGTGTTTTTGGACCCTGACCCCGCGGATCTGCGTGAGGGGTGGCACCGAATTTCAGAAATGTGGCAAATCCCTGTGTTTTTGGACCCTGACCCCGCGGATCTGCGTGAGGGGTGGCACCGAATTTCAGAAATGTGGCAAATCCCATGTGTTTTTGGACCCTGACCCCGCCGATCTGTGTGAGGGGTGTCGATTTCGAGCCCCCCCAGCAATTCAGACAACGCGCCCAGGAGGTGCTAAATATTTGGTTTGGGCCTCCCCCCCCCTCGCGCGGTCAATCAACTAGTTACAGTAACCAGCAAGAAGCAGAACTGTAACACTGGAAACTACAAGCTACAACTGGTACAGGAAACTGCGAATCCCGCGCCTACAGCCTGGTGGCCCCACAAGGGGGCCGGCGGATTATGTTTATTAGGCTTATTCCTGTTATACTAGATTGTGCTAGTATCATTTTCACTCTTATTATCGTCATTATTCCCCAATCAGAGCTTGCCTCTGTAGGGGTCCTAGCGGATTCATATGGTTAGGTGATGTTGTCACCGATTTCCGCGGCCCGCCCAGGTGCCCGGGTGCCGGGGTGCCCGGGTGCCCGGGTGCCCAGGTGCCAGGGTGCCCGGGTGCCTGGGTGCCTTATAGGCCTATTGCCCTATAGCCCTTTAACCCTATAGGCTTATAGCCGTATAGGCTTATAGCCCTATAGCCCCATAGCCCAATAGCCCTATAGCCTTATAGCCCAATATCCCAATAGCCCTATAGTCCTATAGCTTTACAACCCTATATCCCTATAGACATATAGCCCTGTCGCCCTGGAGCCCTATAGCTCTATAGCCCTCTAGCCCTATAGCCCTATAGCCCTATAGCCCTATAGCCAAATAGTCCTACAGCCCCATAGCCCTATAGCCCTATAACCCAATAGCTCAATAGCCCTATAGCCCTATAGCCCTAATTACTATAGCTCTATAGTCCTATAACCTTATAGCCACATAGTCCTATAGCCCTGTAGCCCTATAGCCCTATAGCCCTGTAGCCCTGTAGCTCTGTGTGCCTGCAGCCCTAAAGCCCTATAGCCTCATATCCCTATATACCTGTATCCCCTATAGCCCTATAGCCCTATAGCCCTATAGCCCTATAGCCCTATAGCCCCATATCCCCAGAGTTCAATAGCCCCATAGCTCTATAGCCCTACGGCCCTATAACCCTATGGCCTCATAGCCCTACAGCCCTACAGCCCTATAGACCTATAGCCCTATGGCCCTATAGCCCTACAGTTCCATAGTCATATAGCCCCATCGCCCCATTGCCCTATATCCAAATAGCCCAATAACCCTCTCCGGTATCATTACAACTCGCATTTTTATCATTACTTTTAGTGGCACGAGTCATAACATCATTCTAGTAGTGCTATGTTTGTGGCACTCCTGAATTACGATGGCTTGTTAGTGTCATTATTCTCATTTTTAGTAGCACGTCTGTATTATACTTCTTATTCCAAGTTTGACGATGACAGTGTTGATGAATATGATTCTGCTTTTGACGTTGATGGTGATGATAATGACGATGACGATTACGCCGATGATGATTATGACGATGATGCTGATGACGATGCTGCTGCTAATGCTGATGCTGATGATGCGGCTGCTGCGAATGCTGATTCTGATGATAATGACGATGATGATGGTTGTGATGATGATGATGATGATGATGATGATGATGATGATGATGATGATGATGATGATGATGATGATGATGATGATGATGATGATGGTGACGATGACGATGACGATGACGATTACGATGCTGCTGATGATGATGCTGCTGCTGATGATGTTGCTGAGGAGAAACATGATTTGTGCGAGGTGGATGACGAGATGTGGAGGTTGCGGTAGAGGTGAGGAAGACTGCAGCAACAGTATCCAGACTAGTTACCTTTATAGCGATTCACGTACATCTCTATGAGGGGTCTCCCGAGCGTGGCTGGCCCAGGCATATGGCGTGGTCAGCAGGTCGCCGGCAGATTTCGAGGACGGGGTCGTGGTGGAGATCCTCCAGAGGACGGCGTCGTGGCATGCGTCCAAGGAGGACGACCAGAGTGTGATCTCTAGCCTGCAGTCCGACTCCACTGGACCTTCCCCGGCGGTCGAATCGTGGGACCCTCTCCTTCCTGCGCTGCGGCTGCACGTCAGAGCAACTCTTCGCCAAAAAGATTTTCGGTGCGTGGCTGTCGGGGGGCGCGGGGAGGTGCTGAAGCCAAGCGCGCAGGCCGCTACTGTCGCATCGCATGCAGCGGTCAACTAGTCGCGCACAAGAGGTCAGTCTTACGCAGGCTTGCTCTTTGACGTAGCCGAGCTCTTCCTGCTGCTGCTGCTGCTCCTCCTCCTCGTCCTCCCCTTCCTCCTCCTCCTCCTCCTCCTCCTCCTCCTCCCAACCATGATCCGCTCTAAATCCGCCCCCCCGGACCTTGGACCGGGTTCCGGACGTTGTCGGGGGCTCCAAAGGAAGAACATCTAGAAATATTTGTTATAAGCTCTCTCATCCGCCTGCGAATATCAGAAAGTCTAGCACAACATGAGATGAGCTCCAAAGTCTCCCTCTGAAGTCAATATGAGATGACCGATCTGACCCTGGGGCAATTATTTTCAAGAGACGCACCCCTAGGCCCCAGTAGCCTTCGCTGACTTGAACATATTGGTCTGATCACGAAGGCAACATACGGAATCATATGGCCCGACGCATTTCTGCAAGACGCTCGCAAGGATTCACATTTATAACAACATCTATCTAGCTCTTTGCGTCAAATCCTGCAACCGTGCCTGGATTGTGTGTAAGAATCCTATCGGGATGTTAGTTGGGATCTCGTGGGAGGCCTCTCGGGGGCCTCTTGAAGGCAGTTTTGAGGCCTCTTGGGGGCCGTTTTGGAGCCTCTTGGGGCCTCTCTGGCCTCTTGGGGGCCTCGTGGGGCCTCTTGGGGGCATCCTGGGGGCCTCTTGGGGCGGAAGGTTCGGATTTTCGGTCCGTGTTCCCTCTCTTGGGCCCTTTTTGAGGCGTGATGTAACGAAAAGGACAGCCAGAAGGACACGCAACTGGATGTGTCGGAGTCTGTTCACTGCCCTCAAGGGCGCCTCTCGGACCTCCTTCACCACGCCGTTCACCAAGCCCAGCTGGCCGAGAGGCTCGATTGCGTGCTCGCGAGATAGCTGACCCTGACTTCTCGGCGAAGCCCCATGGGCACCCCGTTTGAGATGCGGGGTGACTTGATCCTGCCGCTCAATCACCCTAGCCACGTTCTCAATTACCGTAGGCAGCCGCGGGATGCTCTGAACCTAATTGCGGCGATCAGGAGGTGTTGCTTCGACTGCTTCCAGGGCTGGGCCAATCGCGAAGCGTGCAACCTGGAAGGCCCGTTGTGCAACGTCGCCACCGGCGAATATTGCGTCAGTAACTAGGTATCATTCGAGAAGCGATACGGCAGTTTTTGCTGCATGTGGCCCCATCTTACGTCGAGGCGCACTGGCGTTGCGTAACGCGTTGGCGGCTCACCGTAGAGACGAGCACGATAATTAGGTACGGCTGGTAGTTGCCATTCAAGCCTGCTTTCCCCGATGACCAGGATGGCCACCCTGGCCACGGAGTGCCTGACCAGATCCTCGTCCGGTGAACGAGTGGAACATTGGTGACATCACCCAGGTCTACATCAACAACATGCCTGAGCTCCAGGAGCGAGAGTGCGTTGACATTGCAATGACTTGGTTCGGCATCCTTCGGCCGGGAAGCGCTGCCATATTGGCCATAAAAGTGCTCTGCGGTGGTTCAACGGTCCATCACAATCATGGAGTCATGCAAACGGGCGTGGTTGCGGTTCGGTATATACCTCGTGAGTTGGCAAGTGAGTTCATCAATCTTAGCGTTGGCTCGGATGTGTTCTACAATTACTTCGACTCCACCGTCAGGAAGACGTGCGCATGCGAGACCGAATTGGTGGACGCACCTGAACTAACTTGGTACCGCGCGAGGCTGTCCGTACCCATTTGCAGGGGGGATTCATTCAGGCAGGTTTATGACCAGAAGGGTGATGATTGAATTTGCTAAGATCCCCTTAACCGTGGCAGTCGCCTGTAAGATATTTTTTTGTGGCAGGCTCTGGTCCCATCGGGTGACTCGGACCTGTGGACCATTGGCCAGTTTTGGGCGAGCGACCCTCACTCGGGGACAGTGTGCGAGCAGAAGCTGAAAGATCGTAACTTGAGGTGGGCTGCGCCCCTCATAAAACATGCCCGGAACGATGACGTTTCGTGGAGCCTGGCGCGCGGAATCGACTGTGCACCCGGAAGCGTAACTATGAGGAGGAGTTCGCGCGCGCCGTCGCGGGCAAGGGCGAAGGAAAGGGCAAACGGCCAAGGTCACCTTCTGTCGGGGCGAGGCGGCCATGAGTGACAGGTAGCCACTGAACATGTTCCTACGTCTTCCTTGCCCAAGATCTGCTCCTTTTTGACCAAGGTCATTTCAAACGAACTTGCATGACAAAGCTGGCGTGGCAAATACACATAGAGCGGAGATACCGTCATACTTCGTCATACTTCTACTCACATGTTGTACCGCTCCGTCATTTACGATATGTTCGATGGTTATTTTCGTCCTTGTTAACCGCGTACTGCGCTTGGCTGTGTGTGCGCACTGCCCACTTGTTTCGCTTATTATGTACATTTCTCGATTCGAGTATTGCCCACTCGCTCTGGCATTTCCATACAGGTAGATTATATGAAGTCGCACGTAGCTTGCCCGACCTGGAGTGCCAGCTCGATTGTGTGTGTGTGTGTCAATATGGCCCCCATGCTATTGAGCAGCTGCTGGCTTCATAGCCGCTCTGAAGCGGTGTTTGTATTTTCAGCGGTTACCGCTCACTGTAAGACAGTACCCTCCTAATCCTCATGCTCATCACCCTCCATCTGCTCCGGCTCCTTCCCTCGTCTTCTTCCTCTCACGCACCGGTTTCTGAGGGGTCTTCCGCTGGCTGCTGTTGGAGCTGAGTCGGCACGTTGGTACACGAAGACAGCCTGTATAACCCATACAGTCAAGGCGCTCAAGTAAGGGTCGAGTTGGGCTCAGGAGGGGCTCGGATTTTCAGGCTGCTCTTTACGTCTAGGTCTGGGCACTTCATAGCGACCAAAGTTCGCCGTGGCCAAGAAAGCCCCTTCGTTCCTTGTCGAGCGTCCCTGCTGGCAGTGCCATGACTGTAGGTACAGTGGCCGTGAATGACTTTCCCAAGAGCTTTGACCCTGCGAGCTCGTTGTCTCGAATGTTCATGCGGCCCAGCAAGCTGGAAGTTGCATTTGGGACGGAACTGAGACCCCCGCGGAGTGATCTCACCTGGACTTGTAGCACCCACGCCGTGGGCACGGCACAGTGCCTCACGGCATTAGCAATCAAACCCCGAGCTTGTTCAGCCGCGGAAGAGGTGCTGTGGGAGGCCGTGTCGCACCCACACGAGTGGCGAACCATATCCACACCCTGGCGGTTTGGATTCTAGGGCGCGATGCTGTGGATACGTTCCGAGCGGGCCATCCGCGAACAAAACGCCCCGTATCCATGGGGTCGCGGCGCAGGGGCCCAGCTTGCAAGGTCGTTTGACCGGGGCATGTGTTTCCCGCCCGTGACACCCCAGTCCGTCTTCGATCGCCCTTGTCACCGCGGCACCTGTCCCAACAAGGTCATTGATGAATTGCACTTTGTCGTTACGAATGTTATTGGGGAGCAGGAAGCCGAGGAAAGGGGCGAAGAGGAGCTTAGAGAGAGGAGGAGAAGGAGGAGGAGGAGG